TAATTGTCAAGCGCGTGAGCCTTGTTCCGACAAATGCCAAACGACTTGTCGAGCTGAATGGCAATACCCGTCATGTCGGCAAACTGAGCGAATTGCTCAAGCACCCATGGCAGCGAGTCCATCCGCTGGACAAAATACCGCCGTGTCGCGCATGCGCCATCGTGTAAATGGACTTGATGGCGTTGGCACCTCGAACGATATCGAAACCCGCATGAGTGCGTTGAGTGTCGCTGTCTCCCGCTGCAACGTCGTGTGGTATGTGGGGTCACAAGCCGCCGTGTTCCGTTACGTCAATCTCCCTCTCGTTCGGTGCCAAGTATATGCACATTTACATACATACATACATACATACTTTACCAGCACACGCCGCAGTCTGCTATCTCCCTCTACCCAGCATCGATGTCATTTATGGCGTTTGAACACTATGTCTTGGGCAGTGCATGCTGCCCATGGACATCAAGGTGGGGCGCGCGTTTATGATCAATGTCCGAAGAACGTTCAATGGCCGAAGCAAGGAAGATGGATGGACAGATAGATATGATGTTTGCAGGAAGATTGTCGGATACGCGCACAGAAGTATTAGACATCGTCGTGCGTCAACGGTCACCTCAGTCAGTACTGTCCAGCGCTCCTTGTTCTGTGCCAGGGCCGTGAGGTCCGTGAGGTAGGCACGAGTCGTGAGCTGCTTCTCGAAAGACGGGATGGTGACGAGATCTGCGTCGAGCACACGTGGCAACATCGTCATCGGGTGGCCGAGCCACGGTGCAGCGCCTGAGCGTCCAGAATACTCACGCATCGCGAGGTTGGCAGGGATGTCGGGCGAGAGCAGCGAAAAATGTGACCAAAACGGCTCCACCGAGCTTGAGCAAGCCAAAAGCGAAGCGGTTTGGTTCGACAGCGCTCATACAAAGCGTCGTTCGAGATAAGTGATGTGGGTAGTGAACACCGATGAGTTGACGCTGCTGCTGCCGGCGGAAGCTTTCGAGTCGATCAACGTCAGCAACCATGAGTGCCCAGCTGTCACAGTTGTATAGCAACTTCGGGAGCACGTACACGTTGTAGAGCCTAAGCCGCGTCTCCTCGCGAAGGATGTCACGGCGGAACCAGAGGCGCCATATGTTGTGGAACGCGACGCGGTCTATTAATAAGGCCTTGCAGTGCGCGACTTCTTCGTGATCGCCGAGCAGTGCCACAGGCTTCATCGTCATGCACCATGGCTTGGCTCGGGCGCATGCATACTGGGCAGAAGATACGACAACGTACTGTTGGACGTTTGACGGCACTTGAGCGTCGTCTCCTCTGTCTTCTCTACGTTCATGAGGAGAGACCACCAGGCGAGCACACCCCGTGCGTGTTGGTTCAGTCAAGCTACATCTTCCGGGTAAGGACGACAGTCATACATATATTTGCTAATTGGCAACAATGATAAGGTCACAGTAGGCTACCTGTCGCAACAGGGGATCCAGCAAAACAGCCATACCCGGAATCAATTGCTCATACATAAAGCCCATGCAAAGCCCTATCAATGCGAGCAGCGACAGCAGCATCCCATATCAAACATTGATTGAAATCATCCACGGTCATGTATGATCGGCATTAGGTGGGACTTGGATACTGAGAAATGCAACATCGCACGCATGAAGAAAGTGGGAGAGCGTCCGGAGGCTTAGGCATAGCGCGTGTCGTCGGCAAGGCGGGTGTAGCCGTCTTCCATGGAGACGTAGCCATCCGTCTTCTTGGTAAGCAGCACTGAGGCGACGACGGCGACGGCAGCGATGCACGCGACGACCAGCAGCCCGTTGTTGGCAGCCGAACTGTACATGGCGTTGAGCTGGGTGGAACCAACGGAAACGGCTTTGGCCGAGCACTGCGACACGGTGTCGCTGAGGTACGTGGCGACGCTGACGCTCTCGCTGTCGGAGTAGACGAGCACGTCGTCGTCAACGGGACACATTGAGCTCGTGCCGTCGCAGAACGTGTTCTTGTCGCAGAGCGTGGCGCCTTTCTTGCAGAGAACCGTCTTGTCTGCGTAGATGTCCTTGCACTTGCCGTTGCCGTCGCAGTTGTCGGTCGCGGCGTCGCAACCACCGCCGTTGCTCGTGCCGGTGCAGGTACGCGTCAGTTGGGGTTGGCAGGGCAAACGCCAGTCGTACCCGAGCACTTGGCGTCGTCGGTGCAAGCGTCACCCGCCTTGCACGTAGTACCGGCGGTCTTGAAGTTGTCCTTGCACTTGCCGTTGCCGTCGCAGTTGTCGGTCGCGGCGTCGCAGCCACCGCTGTTGCTGGTGCCGGTGCAGGTACGCGTCACAGGAGAGTTGGGGTTGGCAGGGCAAACGCCAGTCGTACCCGAGCACTTGGCGTCGTCGGTGCAAGCGTCACCCGCCTTGCACGTCGTGTCAGCAGGCTTGAAGTTGTCCTTGCACTTGCCGTTGCCGTCGCAGTTG